AAAGTGCCCAGATTAACAGAAGAGGAAGTAAAATACTTAAATAACCCCATCTCAGAAAAATAAATTGAACAAGTCATTGATGAGCTCCTTAGGAAAAAATCTCCAGGGCCAGATGAATTTACATGTGAATTCTATCAAACATTTAAAAAGCAATTAATTTCAATACTATGTAGACTATTTGGGAAAATAGGAGAAGAAGGAGTTTTACCAAATTCTTTTTGTGGTACAAATTTGGTGCTGATAACTAAACCAGGAAGAGTCAAAACAGAGAAAGAAAATTATAGACCAATTTCTCTAATGAATATAGATGCAAAAATTTAAACAAAATATTAGCAAATAGATTACAGCAACTTATCACAAGAATAATACTCTATGACCAGGTAGGGTTTATAACAGGAGTGCAAAGTGCTCAGATCAAGCTAAACAAGTACTTGTTTTATTGGAAAAGTTATTTCAGGCAAGAGTAGGAGAATGATTTGTGAGTTTAGTTTTTTTTAATTGCTTTTGTAATGTTGTCTTCTGCCTTAACATAGTTTGTATTCATTTAAAAGTTTGCATGTTGTTTTGCTAAGTAGAATATTAATTAGTTGAGTTAGAGATTGGATGGTTTTAACCTATGTTTGTAGTGCCCTGATCCTAGCACAATTCCTCATCTATACCAAAGACCTATCAAATGTTTGCCTAGTTTGAATCATTGAGTCTGTTATGAGACTCTTCAGATGACTGCTGTTACATGACACAGTGGATAGCTCTATTTAGGGCTCACCTAATGGTTGACAGGCTCAGAACACCAAGTAAGTTCTAGCCTCCAATTCAGCCATGAGTAGACTTTATGCTTTTGAACAAATTATTTGTCTTGACCAATTGCCCTCAACTTTAAAATGAGAAGCTCGATGCAAATAAATATGCATTGTCCCTCCCAGAGCTCACATTGTCCAATTCCCTAATTGTTTTGTTTTGTTGTTGGTGTTCTTTTAAATATGTGAGTGCTTAGTCTGATTTTTTTCCAATTCAATCTTCAGCATTTCTGGGGTCAGCAAATCTAGCAAGTTAATGTTTGCAGTTCTATGTTTATCTCCCTTCCCCCACAAAAAAAGATTTGTTTGAAAACTTAATTTTTTTTTTTGTCATTCATCCGGTAATTTTTTCATGTGTGAATTCATTGAAACCTTTCCAATTGGGATCATCTTGGTCATAATAGTCCAAGGACAATTAAAAACAATCAAACCTGGATTACAGAATTCTATGTTCCATCCATACTGTCTTTCTCCTGTTCTTTGACCCTGACATTTCATCTCTCACCTTTCACAGGCTGCCTCCCACAGCAGAAATTTCCTCCCTCCCCCAGGCCTCTTGAAATCCCAAGCCGCCTTCAAAGTTCTCCTTCAAAGCCATCTCTCAAGCAAGGATCATCCTAATGTGTTGTTAATGTTTTCCTCTACAAGAATTTTTAAAGTTTCTTTGCATGACCTTCCTATTAATTTACTTTTGTAGATGTTCTCTCCCACCTAGACTAAATGATCTCTAAGGTTCCTTCAAGCTATGTATCTATGCTCATATGTGACATTATTGTAACCTCTGTATCAAACCTTACTGATAAAGGAGTCTCTCTTTATTGGTAGAAATGAATGCTCTCTGCCCTACATGAGGGCAAGGATAGAGTTGGTGAGAGAGGGAGAGCTCCAACCTTCTTCAGTCTCCTTTGGTCTCTTTAAATTTGAAGTCTTTTTCATGTCTTCTTCAAGCATCGAATCACTTCAGACACTTCTGACTTCTAGCTTCAAGAAGAAAAATGAGAAAGGAGAGCAATTTGGAATTATACCCAAAGACTTATTAAATTTTCTGTACCTTTGTTTTGTTTATTTTACTGCTCATTTTATTTTGTACATTAAAAATTAAATAAATAAAATTAAAAAAAAAGAAAGGTGGAATATGCCCAACCCACATCATATCATTGAAGTAAAAGTCTTGGGAAGACATGAGAGAAACAGGCAGTCTCCATCTTGTCCCTATCTCCATCTAGCTACACAAGAGACTTCAGGGAGTTTCACCTGGGTGAGTTCTAGGACTTTCTACGTAGGTTGAGCTGAGTTACCTCACTCCCAATAGGAGAGCTCCTTTACTCTCTATTGTCTGATATGTATTCTCCTACATGTACCTCTTCTGATTTCTGTTTTGCTCTGATTTGGATAATTTCCCCCCCTCTATTTGCTGTGTATATTCATTTTGGAACTGGCATTAAGTTGGAAAGGAGTCAAACCCTGGATACAGATCTTAGGGTCACCCTTCCACAAATAATAATGACAAATTAATTAGAAGCTAAATTGAACCCAACCATATCTCATAGACTAATAACATTTAAAGGACCTGACAGATATAATTTTAGTCCAGTAATCCCTCTCTCTAAGGAAAGGTAGCCCATAGCCCTAACTTTATGCTTCCTCTCCTACCAAGAATAAAGGCTCCCTGGGATACACGTGGTAGGAGAAGAGGCTAGAGATAGCTATTCTTCTTTCCTTTGAGCCATACAAGGCCATCCCTTACTACCCTATGGCTTTGCTACAAGAGAGCCTCTCTTAACATTATATTGCTTTATGTTATACCATACTGTGTCATATAATATTAAAAAAATAGCAGTTGCCCACAAGAAGAACATTCTAGATTGTAAATGGAACCAGTATTATACATTCAAAAGACAAAGAGACTTTCCTTCACTTGAGGGGATTGAGATTGTTCTTGAATGTACAAAAACATACTATTCTTGAACAATTTTCCTTGACCTTGCCAAATCAAGTAGGTGAATAAATCTAACCCTGGTTTTATTAATCATCTGAAAATCCAAAGTAATACCTGTCTATGGTTCGATGACTTAGTAAAGGGTGAGAAGTAATATCAACATGGTTGCTAGTGAACTTGATTTTTTGAGCTTTAATTTTTTAGTTATCAAATGGGATGTGGGTGGCCTCTGATGTCTCCTCTAAATCTATGTTCTGTGCTCATCTTCCCCTTTGCTTTTCTCCCTCTTAAGTTCCTTATTTTGATAATGGCACCACCATTCTCCACATCATCAATGCTTGCATCCTCAGAATCATCTTTGGCTCCCTATTCCCAAACCAATCAATGGCCAAGTCTCTTTTTTTCTTGAACAATAACTGGGTTATTTGAATGATTATTCCTCATGCAAGAAAGATAATGTCAGCTGCCTCTACCCTGCGCAATTTGCTGCTTTCCCTTGTTAAATCTGGCCAACTGTGTCTTAAACCTCATTCCTTGTTATTTCTCTGATATCTCTAGACAAGTGATATCAAAAGGGAGCCTATAAAGCATCCATAAGAATCCATTCAAACTACATATTTACTTACACTATATAGTAATATTATCTGAGTTTTGTTTATTTTTAATTTATTTTGTTAATATTAAATGTTTTCCAATTTCATTTTAATCTTTTTCACATTCTGGAGTGCTGTGGGCTGCATGCAGCTTAGGGACTGCATGATTCAATTCTCTGCTCTACGCTTCTCTGCTTACAGGATCCACTCAGGACATATTTCTGGGTGGCTTCTTTCTGATTGTGTCTTTTCCTCTAGAATACATTATCCAGGATCCCCTCTACTTTCCAATGACCTGCCAACAGTTCTCACTCAGCTACTCAAGCACTTAAGAGTTTCCCAGGCAGAGGATGCCAATTTTGCCTCCCCAAAATCTCAGACTTCCAAATTCTTTACTCCATTTTGATTGTCAAAAAAGGACAGTTCCCTTGAAATTTCGTACCACTTCATGACCATTTTCTCTGTAACCAGTCTCTTTCTTTCCATTTTCCTTGTACACTTCTGACATACTGATGATTACTCTAAAGACTAATTCTCAAGATGATTGTACCTTTGCAGAAAGTTCTTCAATTTTCCCATCACTTAGAAAATACAGACCAAATTTTCATCCCTGTCATTGAAGACCAAAACTGATTTTTGTTGCAATCTACCTTTCCAAAGATTTCTTATCCTTATGAACCCTAATTTCCAGGCAAATTAGACTATTTCATCTTCCTCTTCTCTCTATTTCCACCTCTAATGGTTCTTGCTCTTACAACGTCCTTCATTTAGAATTCTGACTAATTATCAGGGCCCATACCATAGTGTTTGTGTGATGGCACAAAGTAAAACATGATTTGGACTGGTACTGTGTAACTTTTATAATCTTTTTTATCCTCAGTGCTCACACTGTGACTTTGCAAATAGTAAGTGCTTGATAAATGTTTGCTGTAATTGGATTATAATTTCATTCAGGAAAATGAATATGAAATTAAAGGGGGGAGGGTGGGAAGAGAACTTAGGTGAGCCCCAATCCAAGAAAAGTGATTGGATCTATTTCTCTAACTTCTAAATGTTTGTACTTTCTGTGAGAGGGTTTCTCTAACGAGCTCATGGAATTCTCTGCTCTGTAACATGACTTATTATGACAAAGGTGGTGGTTGGGTAACCAGAAATAATTATATTACTGTGAGTTCTTTTTTTAACTTCTAGGCAATTGGAATTAAGTGACTTGCCCAAGGTCACACAGCTACTAAGTGTCAAGTGTTTGGTCTGAGGTCAGATTTGAACTCAAGTCCTACTGACTTCAGGGTCAGTGCTCTATCCACTGTGCCACCTAGCTGCCTCCTGTGAGTTCTTTTAAAAAATAGTATTATTCATTTACCAAATATGAAGCCATATAAATATAAAAATATATGTAGACTAGATAGACACACAAAATATTGTATTATATACTGTATAAATACATATACGTGTATGTGTGTGCTATATACACTTTATTACATCATTACATTACATATGCTATTTGCAAAATGCAAAACAGATGTTATTTGAGATATAAAGATATAAAACACATCTTAGCTTGAAAGCCTAAGGGCCTAGCTCCTGTCACTGACAACCACGCCTTCCACCCTTGTCCCCTGCCCACATGGGCCCCCTGCCTGATGTAACTTCTGTCATTATCCCTGCAAGATATTGTGTGTTGACCGAGGAAGAATAACTTTTGGAGGCCCCACCCTGGATCAGGAGGATTCAGAGAGCTTTGTGGTCCTCTCAAGACCCATGGGACATACCAAGGCCCTTAGGATCGAAAAGAGTGAAATACATTACAAAGCATAGTTTTCACTTATGTTTTTCACTCCAAACAAGGGATCCAGGTGCAAACCTTCTGAGCAGCATGCTCTCCAGGGTTCCTCCTTCCCCACCAGAGTTCAAAGTGTCTGACTTGACCCTGAGAGACAGGATTGTTGATTTTTTGTTATCCTCTCAAATGGACACACAGAATGACTATTAACAATCCTTATCCTGTTGTCGTGGATAATTCATAATAACCTAGGAAACAATATGAGTTAAAAGATTTAGAGCAAAACAGGTATAATAAACAAGTCACTAGACTCTCTAGTCAGTCTAAATATACTGACTACAAAGTGAGACAGATTTTTATGTATCAAAAACAATTAGTCAAATCAGACCAAATTAAAAGAAAACAATTAATAGGGTGCAGACCATGATACAAAATTAAGTACTCTGATTTTGAATTGGAGGAAAGATTAAAGACTTTACAAGTTGAGTGGGGAGAACAAACAGATGTAGTTTCCCTGAAATCAGAAAAACAGGTGTTTGACTCCCCCCACATGACTGTATTCAATCAAAGGAACATGGAAATAATTAGTGATTCACCAGTAAGGGGTCACTTTTCAGTTAAGACATAGGGGTTGCTTGAGATGTATAACTGTGAGAAACTTCCTTACATCAATCTTCAGATCTGACAGGGTTTCTGGTCAACATAAGATAGGTCTTCAGGTAAGGGTCTCTAAGCAACAGGTAGAGGTGATCCAGCTTCCCAGCCGCACAGAGCAAGGTTTAAACAATGCCATCAAGTTTTCTCATAATTCCCATAATTGAATGAAATTTTCTCACAGGACATAAATTTCATTAGACCCATAATTGAATAGAAAAGGAACTGAACTAACTCTGGAATTGAGTCACAAAATGGAGTCAGAGTCATTCACTCAATTCCCATACCACTGAACATTGTTTTGTCTTTGCAGGTGAGAGTTGGAGGTTAGAGTTTGAACATCTGATCAGGAAGGAGAAACTTTAGCTACAGATATATATATATGCCCATAGAAATGTGAGTAAAGACGCCCTCCGTGCTGGTCCTACTTCTGTCACATACTCAGGATTTGAATCATGACAGATTTCATCCTCATCCCCAAGTCTTCTCAAAGGTAAAAAAAAAATCTTCATTGACTTTAGTGCAATTAAAATACTTTACTTATGCTTTAAAAAATAATATTTATCTGACATCACTTTCCCCTAACATGCAAATAGAAGCCTTTCTTGTAACATTTGTGGATAGCCACGCAAAAAGTTCAACTCATTGGCCCTATCTTGAATTATTATCTCATTCTGTATCTCTAGCCCCTCGACCGTCTTCTGAGAAGTAGGAGGTCTATTTCAGCATCAATCTTCTGAAATCACTATTGATCACTGTCTTGATCAGAGTTCTAAAGCCTTTCAAACTCTCTTCCTTTCCCAATATTATTGTAGTCATGACATAAGTAGTTTTGTGATTCTTTTATGTCACACTTTAGAAGTTTACACTACTCAGTATATGCCTCTAAATCTGTCATTATCTTAATTTCATATGGCATAAAAATATTCCTTTCTATTCATGTGTCATAATTTATTTAACCATCCCTCAACTGTTAGACCCCCATTTTGTTTATAGCCCATTGCGGTAACCAAAAAGCAAAGCCTCACTCCATTATAGAGCACTTCCACACAAATAAAATTGGATACTAGTCAAAATAAATAAAATAGACAATAAATAAGTTTAAAAAACTCTACGGCAAGGACTAAATTGTAAGCCACACTGATCTCTGGTCTACAGAGGCAGGCAAAGGCCTAGAAAGAGGAAAAGTCTGGAAGTCACGATTTCTCAGGAATTGACTGAGGAAGGGGTTCCACGGCCACCACAAAAATAGATCTGTTCTTTCTTCAGTCATAATTTGGTGACTTGGAAGATAATTCCCCAGTCAAGAGTGATGTAAGCAGGCTGACTCTGTCCTTCCTGATCTTCTACTTTGCCTGGTTAAATCTAACCAGGTATCTCTTATGACTCAGCCCTTGTAATATTTTGCTCCTACCTGTGCCTCTGAACTACAGTTCTCAGGATGATTCCTATGGGCCAGTTATGACTGTCTTTCTTCAGTATGACTTCAGCTTTTTCCTCTAGATTACATTGTCCAGAGTGGCCTCCTCCTTCCCATGTATCCTACATATAGCTTACACTTTGTTATTTTTTTTCTAAAGTATAATTTTGGTGATCCTACCCTAGCAGAAATGTGTCTAATGGCCCTCTATTACATATGGTGGAAAGACCAAACTGTTTCCCCTGTCATCAAAAATGCTTGTTTGGTTCTGCTCCAAGCTAAGTTTGTCTCTATTTGAACCTTAGTTCCTGGGCAAACCAAATTCTGGGATTTTGCCTCAATCTTGGCTCTCGCTGTTCTCTGTTCTTGTAATGGTTTTCCTTTGCAGTTTTACCACTTATTCTTCAAGGCCAAGTCCAAATATCATCTTCTATTAGCCTTCCCTGACCCTGCCCCCCTCAGTCAGATATCATCTCTTTCTTCTCTGGCACAGGTCAATGTCATATAAGAGAGAGATAGTTGCACTTCCAATTTGGGAAGAGGTACAGGAGAAAATTTGTGTTGAAAAAGATTTCTTAGTACATTATATTACATATAAATATGTACACATTTACCTATATTGCACATGTGTAACATTTGTTGTTATTATTGTTTATAACTCTACATGACCCCTTTCTGTGATTTTCTTGAGAAAGATACTGGAGCAGTTTGTCATGTCCTTCTCCACCTCATTTTACATATGAGGAAACTAAGTCAAACAGGGTTACAGGTCACATACCTAGTAAGTACCTGAGGCCAGATTTGGACTCAAGTCTTCCTAACTCCAGTCCGGGCACTCTATTCACTGTGCCACCTAGCTACTCCATGTGTAACATACATATGTTTATATATGTTATGTCTCTCTATACATATATTCGTGCATACATTCACTACAGTATGGGTAGGAGGAGAATTTGATGGTGTACAATTTCAAGAATAGCAGTTGTGGAAATAAGCTAAACTGTTCCTTGATTTACTTAATTTGCCCTATGAAACTGGTGGTATAGTTTACTCTTGGTTTTTTGTGAGGGAAGTGACTTAGCTTAAAATATTGTATTAATTTGAGTTTTTATTCAATTAGGCAGCTTAGGAGATTGAGCTCTGGATTTGGGATTAGGAAGAAATGGGTTCATATCCTGGTTCATATACTTACTGGCTATGAAGGCCTGGGCAAGGCATTTAATGTTTTTCGTCCTCACTTTCCTCATCTTCAAAACAAGAATAATAATGTTACCTACTTCACAGGATTGCCTTAAGAATGAAATGAGATGGGCATATGTAAATGCCTATGTAAATGCCGGCTTTTATTATTAATATTAGTACTGGTCATTCACTCAATAAATGTTTATTAACTATTTATTATAGAGAAAGCACTGGGGTAGAGTATATGAGTGACAGAAAGTTTTAAAGGCCATCTGATTTGGGAGTGTGAGGTGCCAGGCCCTGTCACAGACGATCACATTTTCTGACCTTGTTCCCTCACATAGGTTCCTGCCTGATGTAATTTCTGGTAATCCATAATCACCAGAGGAACCTGTTTGTTCATAGGAGTAGAACCCTGGGAGCTCCCTCCTCCCCAACCCCAACCTCATTCTCAGGAGGGGTCAGTGAGTCTTGTGGTATTCTCACAACTTGTGAAATTAGACAAATCCCAGGAGATGGGAAGTATGTTTGGGAAGTGTATTGCCAAGCAAATTTTCTACTTATTACTAGAGACTCAGGTGCAGAGCTCCAGGGTAAGGCAGGCCTCCGTAGAAATTCGTTCTCTGACTGAGGTCCCTGTGTCTGGCTAGTGCCTAAGGGACAAGGAAGCTGGCCTCCTGCCCATCTTCACTGACAGCGATACTGAGAATGAACTTTTCAGTTCAAAGTTTTCAGCCTAGAAATGCACCCTAATTTTCCCAGCCAATCTAAATCTTTGGACCAAATAATTTATGATGGAATTTAAGAGGGATAAACGTAAAAGATCACAATTTAGGTTTAAAAAAAGTCATCTTCCCAAGTACATGATGGAAAAATCACAGTTAGGTAGACAAATATCAGGAAAAAAAAATCAGGAGATTTTAATGGAGCACATGCTGAATATGAGTCAGGGTCACACAGATGGTAAATGCCTGAGGCTGAATTTGAACTCAGGAAGACAAATTTTCCTGATTCCAACACCAGTGCTGTTTCCACTGAACCACTTATGGGCAAAGGGATGAGCCAGATGTTTTCTAGGTATACTTTCCAGCACTAAATACTCCAAGTTGTTTAAAATCCTTTAAATGAGCATAGAATTCAAGAAAAATGAGGTTTAATTCTTGACCTATACCCCTTCAGGGTAACTGCTCACATGACCAGATAAATCACGCTCTTCTATTGGAAGCACAGTCCTTACTCATTGAATTCAAATAGCCCTATAGCTTCCAGAAAGCACATAATACCACCTTCTCCTAAAAAAAATGGTCTCTACCCAGCTAAAGGATGAGTTTGAGTTGGCATGGAGAAGGGAGCAGTATTCTCAATTCTATTACCGTCATGAAGGGAAAGATGTCTCTGTTGTCATTTTCATCTGATTACGGCCTCAGATCCAGTGTATAAAACTTAGATGTTATGGAGTATCCAGTTCCACTTTAAGCTTAACATTGTGTTAAGCACAGGGCATTATGAGTTTTACTTGGGTCTTCACACTCTTCTTCTCACTTCAGTAAACACCACCAGCACTTCATGGCCTTCAGTTTGTTCTAGAAAAGATCACTAAAGACTTTCATTTGCTGCCCAACATCAACCTGGGATATTAACTCTTCAATGACTCTCATGATGGTGGCTCTAGCTATGGAGAACTCCTTGAGGTGGCTGTCAGGACTGGTCAGACCTTGCCCAATTACAGCTGTGACGGGCAGCACAAGTCAGTGGTTGTCCTCAGGGGAGCTGCTGCTC